GGGGGGGGTTGGGGGCCTCGTTGTCGTCGTCGTCGTTGTCGTCGTCGTCGCGACGGCGGCCGGGGGAGGAGCGGCGGCGGCGGCGTTGCGGGCGGCCATGTTGGGTGGCGGTTATCGGGGTCGGGGTCTCCAAAATGGTGACCAAACGACCCGGTAATTGACGCAAGACTTTGGCCGAGGGTCCCGGCGGGCGACTCTGACGGATTTCCACGTCGGCGCTGCGACGGCGGCGAGGAGGAGGGCGCTGCTGAGGCGTTTCTGGTGGCGGGGGTTGAGCTTCCGGTTCCGGCGTTTCCGGTGCTTTTGTGGGGGTCTCCGTTTTTTCTTTGGGGGTCTCGGGTTCTTCGGCAGCTTCTTCGGCGCTGGGGGTTTCCACCCCGGGGCCGTGGGGGGTTTTGGTGCTCAGCGTGGCTTCCGCCGGCGACATCATGGCCGCCTCCGCCGCTGACGTCGTCGCCGTTTCCACCTCAGACGCCGCCATTTCCTCTCGCGACGTCGCGGCCGCGTCCGCCTGCGACGTCGCCGCCGCTTCCGCCGCTTCCGCCTCCGACCCCGCCGCTTCCTGTGACGTCACCGGCGCCGCCGTTTCCACCTGTGACGTCACCGCTTCCGCCTGGGACGTCACCTCCGCGCCCTGTGACGTCACCGCCGCCATCATGGCCGCCGCTTGCGCCGCCTCCCCCACCGTCGCCGGCGGTGACGTCACTTCCGCCCCAGACGGTGACGCCGGCGCTGTCCTGGGTGACGTCGGGGGGCTCCTCCATGGGCTCGGGGTCCCCCTGGATGCCGTCGTCGTCGTCGCCGCCATTTTGGACACCGTCGTCGTCGCCGTTTTGGGCGCCGTCGTCGTCGTCATCGCCGCCATTTTGGACACCGTCGTCGTCGCCGTTTTGGGCGCCGTTGTTGTCGTCGTTGCCATTTTGGGCGCCGCCGCCGCCGTCGTCACCACCGCCATTTTGGGTGCCGTTGTAGTCGCTGCTGCCATTTTGGGTGCTGTCGTCGTCGTCGTCGTCATCGCCGCCGCCATTTTGGGTGTAGCAGCAGCCGCAGCCCTTAGCCTTTGGCTGACGCGGGTGCCCGGGTTGGGCCGGGGGGGTCCCCGACTTTTTCGGGGTCTCCTGGGGTTGGGGCCTTCGTCTCCCCCCGCCGTCGCCGCTGTCGTCGCCTCCTCTTCCTCTTCCTCGTCTGGCAGACGGAAGCGCCCTTCGCCCTTGGCCTGGTCGATGTCTTTCCGAGCCGCCTCCACCTGCTCCTAGTTATGGGGTTGGGGAGGAGGTGTGTGAGGGGGGAGGGGTCAGGATGAGGGGCCTCCAGCCCCATAATAAGCCCTCCCCCCCCCCCCCCCCCCCCCCCCCCCCCACACAGCCCCCCCAGAATGATGGGGTGGGGGGGGAATGGGATGAGGGCCTCCATCCCATAATAAGCCCCCCCAGCTCCCCCATTTACACACCCTGGAATGACGGGGCCATAATAAGCCCCATAATAAGCAGGCCGCCATCCCATAATAATAAGCTCCCATCCCATAATAAGGCCCCAGGGCTGCCCCACATCCCACAAGGCCCTATAGGGCCCATATCCCATAATGGAGGCCCCCATCCCATAATACAAAGTAGGCCGCCATCCCATAATAAACAGGGCACCATCCCGTAGTAATAAGCAGGGCGCCATCCCCTAATAAGGCCCACATCCCATAATGGAGACTGCCATCCCATAATGAGCAGGCCACCATCCCATAATGAGCAGGGCGCCATCCCATAATGAGCAGGCGCCATCCCATAATGAGCAGGCCCCATCCCATAATAAGCAGGCCCCATCCCATAATGAGCAGGCCGCCATCCCATAATGAGCAGGCCGCTGTCCCATAATGAGCAGGCGCCATCCCATAATGAGCAGGCACCATCCCATAATGAGCAGGCACCATCCCATAATGAGCAGGCCGCCATCCCATAATGAGCAGGCGCCATCCCATAATGAGCAGGCCGTTATCCCATAATGAGCAGGCGCCATCCCATAATGAGCAGGCCGCCATCCCATAATAAGCAGGCCCCATCCCATAATAAGCAGGCGCCATCCCATAATGCCCTGCGGCCCACCTCGGCCTGTTTCAGCTCCTCCCTGCTGACGTCCTCCAGCGACGCCTCCAGGAAGTTCATGGCGTAGCGCTCAATGGGGGTCAGCTGGGGGAACAACGGGAGCCAATGGGAGCCGATGGGAACCGATGGGAGCCAATGGGAATCAAGCAATGGGAGCCAATGGGAATCAAACAATGGGAACCAATGGGAGCCAAGGGGAGCCAATGGCAGCCAATGGGAAACAATGGGAACCAATGGGAATCAATGGGAA